TCTAGAGGACAGACGCTTCTTTTTTGATGTACTATTTTTTTATAGAGTTCTTAATGGGTATATTAATATAGATATATCCTCTTATATCCAATTTTATTCGCATTCGGAAAGATACTCGTTGAGGGGTAAGGACGAACTTAAATTAAAAAAGAACTACGCGAGGACTAATACTTTTAAGTTTTGCTATTTTAATAGGATTGTCCACATGTGGAATGGGCTGCCACTATCGGTCCGTCAGGCTCCAAGTGTTTCTTGTTTTAAAAGGGGTGTAAGGGATTACTTGACTGCAAGATTTGATTGATTTTAGTTTGGATTTGTTTTTTTTTGTTAAAGGTGGTCTGCCGTGCATGGGGATTTATCTCTTTTGCGGACCATCCTTATGGCACCTTTCCTTTTACTCTTTTGTATTATTATCTATCAATGTAAGTATGTAAGTAAGTAGTAAGTTATATGTGCCATTAAATTGTAATAAATAAAAAAAAATAAAAAATTTTTAATCTCGAGAGCTTCTCGGGCTTTTTCAATCGCTTTGCCTTCTCCTGTACCAACGATTCTTCTAATTTTCTTTTTTCTCCCCTTACCTGGCTGTTCTCATCTTTAAGCTGATGCACATCAACCTCGTTGTAATACACCTTAAATCGATACCTAGGGCCCGCTTCCAAATTGCTAAGAAGTGCATGTAATTGCCTTCCGCCACGATTACTAGCTTTCTTGACAGCTTTCTGAAGGCTGAATATTTTCTTTCTGAAGACTTCTGAAATGCAACTATTGATTATTACACCTCGTATACCTGATTGCTCAAACACTTTGTTTACGATTGTTGAAAGGACCGACTCATGGTTTTCTCCGTCTTCTTCCTTACATTGCTTTGAAATAGTATAGATTAGTAAGCTGAAACGAAAAATTAATCGGGGAAGTTTACGAAAAATACAGCCAACAAGCTTAGAAAAGGCATTTATTTAGACTTCATACTTCACAAATCTTACTTGTTTATCTCGTAAGTAAACGATGGCAGATTAATTCCCGAAGCGCTCTCTGATTTTCCAGATCTCTCTCCTACTGCTTTCACGCTTACAAAACAGGAAAAAATCAAAAGGAGGAAGATACAGCTGTTTTGAAACGCCATTTGACGAGGGTAAATCTGCTTTTTGTTCGACACTTTACATATCAAAACAAAGGAAATTTGTTACTCTTTTTGATTCTGGCGGTACATTTTTAATTTGCGCCTGCGTAAAAGAGGTATCGTTTGGGACACTTCGCTTGGTTGTGTTTTGATCAAAAACGCCTTGTTAATTTCACGCAACTGCTCGGAGAAAAGGTAAAAATGACGGGGGTAAATCTGCTTTTTGTTCGACACTTTACATATCAAAACAAAGGAAATTTGTTACTCTTTTTGATTCTGGCGGTACATTTTTAATTTGCGCCTGCGTAAAAGAGATATCGTTTGAGACCCTTCGCTTGGTTGTGTTTTGATCAAAAACGCCTTGTTAATTTCACGCAACCGCTCGGAGAAAAGGTAAAAATGACGGGGGAAAAACTTTACCTTCAAGTTAGAAAATTAGCGAAATAGAAAGCCAAAATATTATAGTTTAAAATTTCAGAGGTACATTGAGTGCTTTTTCCGTAGAGAATTCGCACGATGGTAAAATATTCGAAAATTACACTCGATTTGAGTGGGGCGTTGAACTGGGCGTGGTCGCTCTATTCATGTTAAGACTATTTGTACCCCATGAGTTTGATATGTTTATAGCCTGGGGGGCTAGAGGAAATATTTTCTTAGGGGAGAGGGTGGGATCACATGGTTTTCAGGAGGAAAGGAGGGGGAATCAGTCGTCTCTAACAGAGTTAAGAGCTTTGGTAGAGCTAAAACGACAACTAGCATTGTATATGGTCCATTCTATGTTAAAACAAATAATTACATTGGAAAAACATAGTTTTTATCAGGATAAGTAGTATATTCGCATTTAAGTCAACTGAAAACATCAAGTTCTGCCTTTACAGGTAATTACAAAGCTATTTGAACAAAAACCTACCATCATTATATCTAAAACAAATTTCAAAAACTTTTTAATACAAAGGAGATCAATTTTTTGGTTGGTACTTTTCAGAGGATTGGAAAGGAAATTTTTTTCCATAATGTCTGTTATGTGAAAGTATGTAGGAAAATTTGCATACTTGAAACCCATTCATTCAGATTTAATAAAAATATCTTTTTATAAGAAGACGTAAAGAAATTAATTCACTCTTTAGTATAACGATGATCTGCATGAAAACAACATAAAGTTGAAAATTCACCATGTTAAGTGTTTAATAAATGTTCTGGGGCCTTGATTCAAGGCTGGTAGCCCTCACAAAATTGGAAAATTCAATGTCATCAAATATTTGCTGATTAAATTTCAAGTCATTGCTGTGTTTTTGCCACCATTTCCAGCCAATCTACAATGGTAATAGAACTGAGTGGAGTCTAATTAGGTTTGTTGTTATCATACTCATGATTAACAAAATTGGACGACTGTGAAGACTGCGGAGACCAATTTTTCAATCGTGTGTATGATTACTGAAAGAATTGGACGACAAGAAGTCCTGTTACCAATTAATCTTAATTGTTAAAATTTCTAAAGACAACAAGTACATTTAGGTCAAATATCTCTGGTAGAGACAATGTCTAAAGTAAAAAATATGTCTCCATTTTGGAAGTTCTTCATTTTTTAAATGACAAGTGGCTGTTGCTATGGCTATTGTGATTAACTCTGTGATTGGTGGATTTGGCTGAGTGGACTTAATATGACTGGTTGCTTCAACTGTCTGATCACAAGTGTCCAATTACAGCCAACTGTCCAATAACAGCTGTACAGAATGATGAGTGAAAAAAACAATAATAATAAAAAAAAAGAAAAATGAAAGCAGCTAAAAAGAAAAATGAAAGCAGCTAAAAAGAAAAATGAAGCAGCTAATGCACCAATCACATTTGAAGAAATTGTAATTGATTAGTGCCTGAATAGCCTGTTCCAGGTATTCAGTCAGTAAAACAATGAACCCCACCTGACCCAAGCCTCTGCTCCAGTCTTTGCTCTGTTTTACTAACTGGAGTGAGCCAATGCCTGAAATGACCTTTCGTTGTTCTAAAAATTATTTTTGTATTATCTGTGTCAAATGAATATAATGTTATTTAATAAAGAAAATTAGAAATAAATTTTGGCCACCCAAATTTACGGTGCTGTCTATTTTCTCTGTGCTCATTGATTAAGCAGATTTTTTCGTGTCATTCAATAGTTTGGCCAAAATGGCGTAGGTATCTCTTCCATTCTTTAACTGTGATTCAGCATACTGGATTAGACTGGCTTGCAGGCTCAACACCCTTTTCCTATTGTAACGGATCATCTATATTTAAATTAAAAAAGAATAAAAATTAAAATCAATCAAGTAAGCAGATTGTCTGCTGCAGTTAGAGCCAAATGACAATTTCTTTTTATGTGCCCTTGACAAATATTTATATCATCTGCCATTTCTCCTCTGTTTATTACGCCGACACAAAGGATTCATTGTAAACCATAGAAAATGGTCGAATATCAAATTGTTGATGAGCGGTTTTGTCACTTTGGCCTCTCAGAGGTTAATGGTACTTGCTCATCACTTTCGAGTTAGCCAATCAGTGTGCACGAAAAACACTATTCACTTGTGTGGTATATACTAATTTTTTGATATTCAGGTTTTAACATGAAAATGGCACAGATATTCATATTATTGTTTGACATGTGTCTTACAAGCAAACCAGCAACAGGGTGGTCTGCCTGTAAAACAAACCACGAAATGCAACCAGGTAAGCGAGGCATGCAAAAGTTTCCAGCTAAACTGTAAGCCAAAAGTCTAAGAAAAACAAAAGGCTTTTTTTATATCATTTTATTCACCTCTTTCTTTGCAGCTTCTGAAATTGAATTGTTTGCTTCCTCTGCATCGTCTTTGGCTTTTAGAAGCTGAAAATAAAAAAAAATTTGTAAAACAATTTAGGATTCTTCAATTCTGGCGTTAACAATAATTATTCAGAAGCTTGACTTGAACTTTGAGTCTATTACTAAGTGCAGCCTTATGTGAATCACATGAAAGAACATACTCAATCACATGTAACAAGATCAGAGAGAGGTACCAGAGGAATGCACATCACATGCACATGTTTGTCAGAACCTTACCATTTCTTGGATTTTGGGTTTGGCTTTTTCCAGTGCTTTTGTTGCATTCTCAAACTCAACTAGTTTACATGTATGATGGAAAAGCATCTCCTGCAGGGTAAGAGATGGACAAAACAAGTGCAGTAAACAGTTTAAATAATCATCTTGGTACAGCAAGAAGAAATAACCAATAAAAAAAAGGGTTTTCAAAGTTAAGGCACTGTAATTGCAATCCAAAAGTCTCACTTTCCAGTTCATCTGTAGTTGATGGTTCCAAATTCAATCATACCACGAAGCATTGTAAATTGAAAGAAACTCCCAAGGTCAGTTCACGTTTCCATTCCACCATTCCAGTCTTTGTTTGCAAGTTTCCCCTTCCCTTTCGCTTAGCAGTACGAAAATGAAATGTAAATTACTCAAAGGGTGCTTTTTCTTCAGATAACCGCTCCCTCATGCTACATTCATGTAGATACACTCATTCTTACCAATGAATTGAATAAATTGAATGCAACAGAGATATAAGGGGTAGGACCCAGGCTTCTAGTTCAAGACACAACCCACAAACCATTCGCAATATGGGAAAAAGATAAGTCAACAGTCTGGCTGATGAATTTTTCTTGTTGTTGGGATATTTTTGGCTTTTCTTTTCTTTCTTTTTGAGACTTGCAGCGATCCTGAGCTTTTCCCTCAGCTGTGATAATGCTCTCATCCCAGCCCACCCCAAAAGAAAATGATCACTTCCTTCCCCTTGCCTAACCCTACCCACAAAAGGAAAGCTGGTATCCTTTAAAGAGTTAAATAAGATCCAAGTTTTCCAATACATATTTCACATACCTTGGCAGCATCCATGTATCTGGAATAAAGTTCTAAAGTAAAACCTAATGTGTTGTCATCATTAGTGGACATAACATCCAGTGATTCCTAAAGAAAGGAGAAGACACACACACACACAAGTAAGACAAAACAAATTAAACTCTTGGAATTGAAAATACTGCCAGCAACACTAGTTCCTGTCTAAAAATGCTATCATACCTTGACACCATTTAGTGCACTTGAAAAAGTCACAAAACTCCTGTAAAAGTAAAAAAAGCTTTTAAAATTAGCTTTTCGTTACACACTGACATCAGAATGTATATTCTCAATACTGTTCTTGGTACATATTCTATTATACTGACAAGGAGAAGTTGTTCAACAATCAAGAGCTTCTTTGTTTTTTTCTATCATTTCCTTTATTCTCATGACCTTAATGTACTATGCAGCAGTGATATGGTGAGGAGAATTTAGATGCTGATCACTTCAACAAGAGAGGAAGACATAACTATCATGCTAAGGTCTTGATAGGTCTTGATTGCCTCTTATTACCAGTTCTCATGATGGTTACAGTGAGTAGAGCTAGCATGTAAGATGTGGTAAAACAGTGGTTATTCACATGGGAAAAAAAATCAGCCAAACTATATGTCTGGTCCATCATTGCTTGCATTGGAAGTTTGCCACCACAGGTTAATAATGGAAAGATATGAAATAAATATTAAGTAATTATTACAAAATCATATCATTTAGCAATTTCAGACAAAGAACAACAAACCCTTTCAATTCCTTGGTACTATTATCATCACCAGCAGATGCTGTCATGATGCCAGAACTAAAATCATTCACTGCTAATGCAACACCTGAAATTCACAAAGAAATTCAAAATTACCAAACTTACATATGTATTAATATGCCATCATGGTGAGATTGTCATAATCATACAGTATCATTTATTATCAAAATCAATCATATATTTTGTAACATCCTGATACATTACAATACTGTATGGTTGAATAATAATTCAGGTAGGTCTTTGCCACCCTCATGTTGTTTTTACATGGATGTTCTTTAGATATCAATGTTTTTAGCCATACTTTCTGTTAAAATTCACTAGACTGGACCATTCACCAAAATCATGAGATTTGAAGTTGTAATTCACTATTTCAGCCTAAACAACCTTAATGCAGATTACACATTCCAGCAAATAAAACATTGCTACATACGTTGCTGACTGTGTACCATTTTGGTGAAGTTCTACAAAAAAACACAAGTAGAAAAACATTTATTTATTGAAGGAAATAATCTCAAAATTGTCAACTCTTACTTAGAAGCTAAAACCAAATCTGACTTTCCTCTAAAACCTTGTTCTCATCATAGGTGCTGTTTGGTGCAAAACCAATTTACAGAATCATAACTTAATTGTTTATGTTATTATTGACAATTAGACATTCTGGCTTTTCAACCACAGTTTCCAGCAGAGTTGGCATTTTGGAATTCCAGGTCTTTTTTTCCCTCATAAAAGACCCCTAAAGCAAACCAACAAGATGCATGTAAATGTAATCTATCCTACACCCACAAGTAGCTCAGGGTGCAGAATCCTAGCCCAGACTGACGTGGTGAGAGAGAAGCATTTACACCATCAACCCTTAAACTCCCATGCATGACCAAAACATTATTTCTCCTCACCACATCAATACAACACCAAGCAGGCAAGTGATGCTCTGATTATTAGTTGATCCAAAACCAAATTCTCCCAACTAACATCATATGAATTGTGTGGCAGAAAGTTAAGGGAATTACTGAATCATAATGCACCCCTAGAAAAATATTACAACTACTGACCCCATATGTCTCCTTGGTAAGTGGTGTGTACTCTTCCACAAAATCTCTTTTCTTCTGAAATTCTTCAACAAGATCCTAACCAAAAGGAATAACTTCTGGTTATTTGTATTTCTAGGAAGGCCAAGTCATTCTTGTAATGGTTAAATTCAAAAGAAAGTTAGGTCATCTGTGAGCAGGGCCACTGTAACCCTTTAACTCCCAGAAGTGATGAACATGTAACTTCTCCCTTTAATATCCATATATTATTCAGCAAACAGGTAATGAGAATACTCAAACTCATCAGGTACAAGATATTACCCTGATTGAACACCAAATTCTTGTAACTAATTTACAAGGAAATGTGTAGCAGCTACAGGGGAGAATTAATAATCAGATCTTGGGAGTTTAAGGGTTAATTGCACTTTGGCAAGAGTGTTTCTTCACCTGCAGAAGAGAATGAGGCCTAGTAGAGCAACACAAGCTGCTGAGAGGCCTGTGAAGGGTTAACAGTGATAAGGAAGGACCAAGTAATCAGCAGCTTAATCCCTGAGAGTGACTGACATCTAATTTCTCCTTACCATATCCCCACTGAATCAAACATTAAGGTCAGGAGAATAAAGGAACTGATTACAGACTAAAGAAGCTCTTGATTGTTAGACAAATTCTCCATGTCAGCATCTTAGGAAATGTCTAGAGAACAGTATGGAGAATATGCATACTGATGTTAGAGTGTGAAGGGTTAAAACACTGTCTCTCTGTATGCCATAATTCAAACTACAATAATTCATATTTCACAGCCCTGAATGAGACATACACTGTATGTATGATCCAAAACCAAATTCTCTGAACAAACATCATATGAATTGTATGGCAAACAGTAAAGAGAATGACTGAACCATAATGCACCCCTGGAGTAAGATTCTATTTGGAAAAATATAACAACTACTGACCCCATATGTCTCCTTGGTAAGTGGTGTGTACTCCTCCACAAAATCTCTTTTCTTCTGAAATTCTTCATCAAGATCCTAACCAAGAGGAACAACTTCTGGTTATTTGTATTTCTAGGAAGGCTAAGTTATTTGCATAATGGTTAAATTAAAAAAAAGAAAAAAGGTCATCTGTGAGCAGGGCCTCTATAACCCTTTAACACCCAGAACTGATAAACATGTAACTTCTCCCCATAGTATCCATACATTATTCAGCAAACAGGTAATCAGAATACTCAAACTCATCAGGTACAAGATGTTACACTGATTGAACACAAAATTCTCGTAGCTAATCTACAAGGACAAGTGTAGCAGCTAGAGGGAAGAATTGAAAATCAGATCTTGGGAGTTTAAGGGTTAATTGCACTTTGGCTAAAGTGCTTCTTCACCTGCAGGAGAGAATGAGACCTGGAGCAACATGAGCTGGTGAGAGGCCTGTAAAGGGTTTAACCCTTTAACTCTCACAAGTGATTAACATGAAACTTCTCCCTATAATATCCATACATTATTCAGCAAACAGGTAATGAGAATATTCAAACTTGTCAGGTAGAAGCTGCTATCTTGATCTAGTATCAAGTTCTCATAACTAATTTATAAGGAAATATGTAGCAGCTAAAGGGGAGAATTTACAATCAGATCTTGGGAGTTAAAGGGTTAACACTGATAAAGAAGGACCAAGTATTCAGCAGTTTAACCCCTAAGAGTGACTGACATCTATTTTCTCCTTACTGTATCCCCCCTGAATCAAACATTAAGGTCAGGAGAATAAAGGAGCTGATCACTGACTAGAGAAGCTCTTGATTGTTAGACAAATTCTCCATGTCAGCATCTTAGAAAATGTTTAGAGAACAGTATGGAGAATATGCATACTGATGTTAGAGTGTGAAGGGTTAAAACACTGTCTCTCTGTATACCACAATTCAAACTACAATTATTCATATTTTACAGCCCTGAATGAGACATACACTGTATGTAATTAAACAATAATCCAGTGATATCACAATTTTACTAAATAAAGACTTCTTAGATAAAAAATCAAAACAAAACAAAAAAACATAAAAAAATCCTGGAACATTTTGTACCTTGTGACTATGATGCCTGAAATCATCCACAGCTCATGATATAGACTTGTCCTGAGAGACTTTTTCACTTTGCTTCTCACTGCAAGCTATGTGTTTATACCTTACACTGTAAGTGTATGAGCATGAGAGATGCCATTAAGCCACTGATCACTGAGTTGAAAAGAGATTAATTTCTCAGAGCAAGGAGTTTAATAATGATTATCAAACTTAGTTTTACCAAGTTGCAACAGACATTTTTGTCACAAAAGAAATCCCCCAGGCATATACATACAATCAGCAAGAAAATTGTCAACACACTACCATTGAAATGGCAATATTCTGGAATAGCATACCAATTATATTCCTTACTTTTAACTCTTCTTCTCATGTACAATGTTTCTTTAATTGTTTTACACCATTCTACAACATTGACTGGTGGAAGAGCTTATTGTTGCAGTGAATTGTAGTTCAATTTTCACTCCATTTCTACATAATTCCTTAGAGGTGGCTCAGTGGATGTTGTGTCAACTGATTTTATCTTTAAAACATTTATGACCCCTTAAGATGAAAATAGTCACAATTATTGTTGATTTTATGAAAAATATACCTATGGAGTTTAAATCAAGTGTTGTTTTGCCATAGTATGTCAGTTTACAAATTTTGTGGAAAAAATCACCCACACTCACAGGGATCATGGCCAAATATCTGTAAGAGTATCTTATTATTTGAAAAACTCACATTTTCCTCTTTCAAAACCTTCTGCAAATCTTCATCTTTTGAAAAGGCTGGGTGGCTGACAACAAGTTGAAAAAATCTGAAAAACATCAAAAATTGTAATTCTTGAGATGGGCTAATATGCAATGTAAACATGAGAATCAACAGTGTCTCCCTGAAAGTATATTAAATTTTAGAGAGAAAATAGTATCTTCAAGAAAAACTGAATCTTTCCTGAGGAAGTTTCTCTAAGATCTGTTTATTGTTTCTTGTTGGGTTGTTTTCTTGATCATTTATGTTTTACTTCACCAGTTTACTGGGAGAAAAAAACTTAAATGGAAAATTAACCCTTTATATCCTAACAGTGACTAACATCAAATTTCTCCTTACAATATCACACCTAAATCACAGTTAAGGTCATGAGTGTAAAGGAAATGATCATCAAAAAAAGAAGCTTTTGATTGGTAAACAAATTCTCCTTGTCAGCACCTTAGGAAATGTATAAAGAGCTGTATGGAGAATATGAATACTGAATCTAGGGTGTAAAGGACATATTCAAGTACTGATTTGCTATTCATCAATACTCTGTAATCTGCTGTAAATCCATACAATTACTGAACTGTCCCCGTTTCCTATTCCTTCATTACTCCATGCCAATGGTTATTTCTCAATTTCTTTACTCCACCATAAACTTTGTTTCATTAAAATATACCTGTCGTTCTCCATCCCAAACACTCGCCTATTACAGGAAAGTGAACATCAATAAAGTCAACATGCCTCTCAAATTGACTGCTACAGAGTTCGAAGCGTCCAATATCCTGTAAAATTGCCATTTCCTCCCATCAAAAAAGTTCCCAACGCCCAGAATATCCCTTATTTTCCATGTTGAGTAAGTGACGAGACGCCATGTTGAAAACTATGACTGAAATAGTTAAACACGAGCAACGCTGATCTTCGAATCGTCGGCCATATTTGTTTATGTTCTCGCAGGGAGGTAAATTTGTTCTCGGTCCTTTTCGGAATAAAAATATGCCAGGCATTGAATGCAAATTTAGTGGTCTTAGCGCGAAAATTAAATTCAAGCAAATCAAAATTCTGACATCATGTCATCGCTCTGCCTCGAAAAATCCCAAAGATTTACTTGCAGAATGCCTTTTCATCAAATAGAAGATCTGCTCTGCTCAAATTGTATAAGTCATGGTACAAAACACTCTTCTTTGCAGCCGATGTCGATATTGAAGCTTTTTTGGCCTTCTATTGTTCCGGATAAATACGATTACCGCTGATACATTGTAAGGGGCTCGAAATGTCTTGATTTCTGGCGATAATTAATATGCATCATTTGCCACAACATGGAAATAGCTTTGGGAAAAAAAATTCGTTGTCATTTGTAAAATCCGGGAATTTCACTTTGAGTCAGGGAAAATTTACATCTTTAAACAAAACAATCAGGAATTATTCAGTGAAATTTTAAGAGTACTAATTTAGCTTTACTGCCGTCTCAGTGGTGTTTTTGTAGTCAAGAATGCGACTCATTCATCTTGGCATGCACAATCGAAAATTCGTGATGAAAGTGCTAACACTTAACTTTCTGTGATGTTGCTGTTACTCATGTATAAGAATTTATTACGAGTTGATTTTTGATAAGCAATGTTTCGCGGACTTGTAATACAAGGTTAACTTGTGAATGACTTCACGAGAACACTTTCTTTTTCCTGGTACACTGTTTTCTGATTGTTTTCTAAACATCTTTTCAAAATTCTGGTCATCTCAAGCGACATGAACATGTTGCATTTGTAAATATTATATCAAGGTACTTGCCCGACAAACTGATGTCGAAGTGCTATTTTACACAAATCGAATAAATCAACACCGGAAAAAGTCCTTTGAAGTTAAACGAAAACTACTTAATTATTCCATCTGTTTCTACGACGGAAAGTATCTCAAAATTAAAAAGACGGATGCAATAAACTCTAGGCCATTAAAGTAGGAAACCTAGGTGCGATTTTACAGCTCTGATAAAGAAAACAATACCTATCTTAATTGCAGTAGCGCAGCTTAGGAAATAGAAAACGGAAAAGCAATTAAAGTTTCTGCTTATTTACGCAAGATTGGTTTGGAAACCATCGCATGAGAAGAAATTAGATTTCAAACTCAGCTGATACCATGAAAACCAATGTTTCCAGAAAGACCATCAACACTTATATTTACCTAAAAAACCCATGTAATAAATAACAAAAGTGCCGACAAGCAGGCGCATATGATGAAAGCGAGTAACAACAAAAATCTATTCAAAAGCTACTGTGGTTTTTATGCATTTTTTTGATTCATCGAA